TTGGAACCTTTACCACTTACAGGACTCGCTTTTCCCAGAGTGTGATGCTCCCAGCAATGCCTTGCTAAGCGTGTGACTCTGCACCTGTGGGTACTTAGTTTTTAGTAGCCGGGAGGGGCCTACCTTTCCATCATCCACTTATGCAACCCACGGGGTCACTTTCCTAGTGTGCCAGCCATGTGACATTGGTTTTTAAGAGAGAGTGCATGAAACAATTAGGTTTAAATGCCTACATGTAAAACTTACCTCCAAAATGTTCCAGCATATTCTGAGCTTCCTCCCTATGAAAAAATGACAAGGCTCATTCTAATGAAGGGAAGGAATATCTGAGGCCAAGTGGGATAGGAACAGGAATTGCTACAAGGACCAGAGCAGCCTACTAGAAAGTACTGGGCCCAAGGGAAGGCATTACTTGGGGCACATTACCCCACATCTCTGGCGTCAGCTCCTGCCAATGGCCGTTTTCTCTCACGATGATCAGTCACTGGAGAGTTTCCTTCACAGAGGAGAAGAGAGAAAACCATGCATTTATCTGTTTTGATAGACATGCCTGTTGCAGGACTGTGCACTTCAGAGCTGTCCCTCCACTGCCTTTCACAGCATTATTCCCAGTGGTTTGCCCCTGTCCCGCCCTCTCAGATCATACTGCTTCCTCTTTCGCCCAGGTGAACTCTTTTTCCTGGAGTGCAACCCTCAGCTTAGGGGCCCTGCTGGCTTCTAGCCCTGGTTAAGAGGAGGGCTGCTACCACACAAGGTCAGCAATTCAAAACCAGCAGCCTCTCTGCAGGAAACACATGGGGCTTTCCACTCCCTTGAAAAGTTACAGCGTTGGAAACTCCCAGGGGGCGGTCTACCCTGTTCTACCCATGTGTCCCATTCACTGGAGGACAGTGCCTCAGTGAGATCCTTGGCCCGAAGGGCTTTGGGGCCTTTTGCCTGCACAAGACTGTAGTGCAGGAGAAACAGCAGTGTGAGTCCTATGTCCCCAGATTCTCCAGCCGTTGTACCTTCCGTCCCACCGTCCTCAGAACCAATGGGCCCTTGGTGAGCTTGGTCACAGGTTCCTGAGACATACGTCTCCACTAGATGACTCCCTGGTTTCTCCATGGTCTCTCTGCAAGGGGAGGCTGGGATTCCACTTTGTTTGGAACGGAAAACACGGACAGCTTTACAACTGGTCTCTCACCGTCGGGAGGGAGGAAGAGGAAAAAGATGTAAAGGCAGAAGAAACCATCACCCGGTGACCAATGGACCACGCAAGGATCACCCTACAC